TGACAGGATCTCATTCTTTTTTATGGCTGAATAGTACTCCATTATGTATAAGCACCACATTTTCTTCATCCATTCATCTGATGATGAACACTTAGGTTACTTCCAAATCTTGGCTATTGTGAATAGTGCTGCAACAAACATGTGAGTGCAGATATCACTTCGACATACTGATTTCCCTTCTTTTGAGTATATACCCAGCAGTGGGATTGCTGGATGATATGGTAGGTCAGTTTTTCATTTTTTGAGGAACCTCCAAACTGTTTTCTATAGTTGTTGTACTAATTTACATTCCCATTAACAGTGTAAAAGAGTTCCCTTTTCTCTGCATCCTCACCAGCATTTGTTATTGCTGGTCTATTGGATGAAACCCATTTTAACTGGGATGAAATGATATCTCATTATAGTTTTGATATGCATTTCTCTGATTATCAGTGATGTTGAGCACCTTTTCATATGCTTATTTGTCATTTGTATGTTTTCTTTTGAGAAATGTGTATTTAAATCTTTGGCCCATTTTTAAATTGGATTATTAAGGTTTCCCTATAGAGTTGCTGGAGCTTCTTATATATTCTGGTTATTAATCCCTTGTCAGATGGGTAGTTTGCAAATATTTTCTCTCATTCTTCACTTTGTTGATTGTTTCTTTTGCTATGCAGAAGTTTCAGCTTGATGTGACCCCTTTCTTCCACTTTTGCTTTGGTTGCCTCTACTTGTGGGGTACTACTCAGGAAATCTTTGCCCAGGCGGATGTCCTGGAGAGTGTCCCCAATGTTTTCTTGTGGTATTTTTATAACTCGAGGTCTTAGATTTAAGTCTTTAATTCATTTTTATTTTATTTTTGTATATGGCAAGAAATGGGGTCTAGTTTCATTCTTCTGCATATGGATATCCAGTTTTCCCAGCACCACTATTGAAGAGACTGTTCTTTCTCTAACACATGTTCTTAACACCTCTGTTAAAAATGAGTTCACTGTAGGTATGTGGATATGTTTCTGGGTTCTCTATTCTGTTCCATTGGTCTATGTGTCTGTTTTTATGTCAGTACCACGCTCTCTTAGTTACTCTAGCACTATAGTATAATTTGATGTTAGGTTATGTGTGATTCCTCCAGTTTTGTTCTTTTTGCTCGGGATAGCTTTAGCTATTCTGGGTCTTTTGTGGTTCCATATAAAATTTAGGATTTTTTTTCTATTTCTGTGAAGCACCTCATTGGTATTTTGATAGGGATTGTATTGAATCTATAGATTGCTGTGGTTAGTATGAACATTTTAACAATATTGATTCTTCCAATCCATGAACATGGAATATCTTTCCATTTTTTGGTGTGTCCTCTTCAATTGCTTTCATCAGTGTTTTGTAATTTTCATTGCAGAAGATCTTTCACTTCTTTGGTTAATTCTTAGGTGATTAATTTTATTTGTAGCTATTGTAAGTGAGATTACCTTCTTGATTTCTTTTTCAGATTGTTCACTCTTAGCATGTAAAAATGCTACTGATATTTGCATGTTGATTTTGTATCCTGCAACTTTACTGAATTTGTTAAACAATTTCAATATTTGGTGGTCTCTTTAGGTTTTTCCAAATAGAAGATCATATCATCTGCAAACAAGTGTAACTTGAGTTCCTTCTTTCCAGTTTGGATGCCCTTTATTTCTTTCTCTTGTCTGATTGCTCTAGCTAGGATTTTCATTACTATGTTCAGTAACAGTGGTGAAAGTGGGCATTTTTGTCATGTTCCAAAGCTTAGAGGAAAGGCTTTCAGTTTTTCCCCATTCAATATAATACTAGCTGTGGGTCTGTCATATATGGCTTTTTTCATGTTGAGGTATGTTCCTTCTATAGCCAGTTTTTGAGGGTTTTATCATGAAGGCATGTTGAATTTTATCAAATGCTTTTTAAGCATCAATTGAAATGATTATATGGTTTTGTCCTTCATTCTATTATTATGATGTATCACATTCATTGGTTTGTGTATATTGAACCATCCGTGCATTGCTGGGATAAATCTCACTTGTTCGTGATGAGTCATCTTTTTAATGTATTGTTGAATTTAGTTCACGAGTATTTTGTTGAGGACTTTTGCATCAATATTCATCATCACCCTTATTCACTGCAACCTCTCAGGGCTATCTTCTGACGTGTACCTACACTGGTCCATTGGTTTCTGACTTCTAATTATTGGCTTTATTTACCTCTTATTTATGGTCTTGCTCTTAATCTTTGTACTTAATGTTTATATTTGGTCTCCCCAACTTGGAGTCTTACCTCTCTCCCAAGGACTTTGACTGACACACTCTTCACTCTTCTACTTCTCCTGCTGGCAAGTTTCTCTGGGCAATATACCTTAGATTGAGAACCCTTAAACCTAATCTTCTTTTCAATCTGCTTGAAAAGTGGCCTACCCTCCAAAAATGGGGAGGAGCATGTTTGGGTATATTTTACATACGTTATTGTCATTTCCTCAGTTTAATTTATAACCCCTCCCTGGGTAATCTCATCCTTTATCACCTCCTAAATTTATGACTCCAGCCCAAACCTCTCTTCAGAGTTCCAGATCCATATTTTCAACTGCCTACTTAACATCTACACTTGGACGTCTCAGAGGCACTTCAAACTCCAATGTCCTAAATTGAATATATCTCTTTATCTGATTTTCCTCCATTGTTCTATATCTCAGTGAATAGAGTCACCAGATCCTTGTTCAAACCAGAAATGTGTAAATCATTCTAGACTTTTTCTTCTTACTTACCCCACTTAGCCAATTCATGGTCAAGTAATGCTGATTTTATCTCCTAAATCTATCGCAAAGATATCCATTTCTTCTTTCTCCTGAATCACTGCCATAGCCTTTCTGCTGGCCTCCCTGCAACCTCTTTTGCCTTTTTTCAATCCATCCTCTATATTGTTGCCAGTGTTCTCTTCTCTACACTTAAATTAAAGTAAAAAGTCTATAGCACTGCCCACAAAGGCCTGCATGTTCTGGTCCCTGTCAAACTTTGCAGGCTCCTGAAGACTTCTCTCCCTCACTCACTGAGTTTCTTCAAGTGTCAAGTTTATTTGATCTCAGAATCTTTACATATGCCATTATCTCTATGGCATGTTTGCCTTACTCTCCTTTTACTCATTCAGCAGACTTTAGAGCATATATATATATGATAATATGATGTATATCATGATATATATATAGTAATGTCTTCTCTGCCACTTTAAGCCAGGTTAGGAAGCATCCCGTCCACTTTATAAGTGCCCAAGCACTTTATACTTCTTTATAACACAGTATTCTTGCAATTATGTGGTTGGTGTTATCCATCCTAGTAGGCTATAACCTTCACCAGGACATAGACTATGTGCTAAAGAAATGTTTACTGAATGAATGAATGAATGAATGAATTTCTGTTTTGTCATTTTTGCCAGATTGTAAACTTTTTGATTGCAAACTTTAGATTCCTGCAGAGCCTAGCCCCAGTACATTGTGTAATCTGTCTCTTTTATTCTCCTCCACATGTATGTTTGATTTAATCAATAGATACTTGGTGTCAAAATGAATTGGACTACCTGGAATTGCTCAAGTTATTCTTCAAAATCTCCTCACTTATATTTATTATGTGTATTTCCTTTTTCTACTTCACATGTGTTCCATATTTTGTCTCCTTCAACAGTTCATTCTTTGTGGCTACAGGACACTTTTTTTTAGTTGGTAATTCTTTCCTTTTTTAATGTCATAGCATTTATTCTAGAGGACAAATGGAATTGCTGTGTATACTCAAGGCATCACATAATTTTAAAGAACAACATTATCTTTACCTAAGATGAGGTGTTCTCATTTCTGGGAGGCAAGGGGAGAGATAACAATCATGCATATGAAGAATTTGCATTGACTGTGAACATTAAATCCAATGATCAGATGATTGGGATTTGCATTGTGGGTGATAATTCATCCATATTACTGCCTATTCCCTTCATTTATGTAAATTAAAGCTGCAGGGTTTGCCTTTGTGCAAACTTTCCCTCAGTCTGCGAATGTGTCTTGCCACACTACATAATTATTTGAAGCGATAGCAGAATTGCATTAATTTGTTTTGAATTATTGGACTCAAGGAGTTAATCACCCACAGAGCTCAATTGTTGTTTGCAGAACTTGGAGTGTTATAGAATGAATAGCTCCGAAATATCTCTTCAGTGTTCAGAAAGAAAAGCATGGTGGAATGAGTTTTAAAACGGGAGTCCAAAACCTTACAGTGTAATCTTGACTCTGCCTCTGTGTAACCACGAATGCCTCACAAATCTCTCTGTACCTGTTTTTTCTTTTGTCAAGCAGACTTCATGTTATCTCCACTCACTACTCACAGGGTTACTGTGAGGATCAAATGAAGAAAGTACAAAATGGAAACTACATTAAAAAAAAAATCTGGCCAGGCTTGGTGGCTCACGCCTGTAATCCCAGCACTTTGGGAGGTTGAGGTGGGTGGATCACTTGAGCCCAGGAGTTCGAGACCACCCTGGCCAACATGGCGAAACCTTGTCTCTACTAAAAATACCGGAAAAAAAAAAAATTAGCACGCGCCTGTAGTCCCAGCTACTTGGGAGGTTGAGGTGAGAGGATCAACTGATCCTGGGAAGATGAGGCTGCAGTGATCCATGATCGGGCCATTGTACTGCAGCCTGGGTGATTGGAGTGAGACCCTGTCTCAAAAAAAAAAAAAAATCCTATCAGCAGAGGAATGTGGAAAGCTATTGGCACTTTAGATACCTTATCTCAGTCTTCCCTCAGGTCACTCTTATGGACAGCTGGAAGTTATTCAATTTTTTTCACAACTTACTACTGAACAAACAAATGCAGCAATCACTTTACAAGTGGAGAGAGAACCAAAGAGAGAATAAGAAAAAATAATGAGACCTCAAAATTATAAAAGTCCCACAAATGTGCAGTCGTTACAATTTATAGTGGGATGAAGAGACTAATGTCATTCTCTTTACATTCTTCAGACAATAGATATGTGTTATCATTAAACCAGTCACCATTTATTGTCCAGGGATCAAAAATGACATGCTAAATATTAATGCAAATATATTTCCATTTTTATACAATATGAATCTATTTCAAACATTAATGATTTCAAACAAAAGAAACTCAATTTTTTATTCCACACAATTCTTCATTTTGTTAAAAAAAAAGTTCTTTTGTACAAGCACAAGTGAATAAAATGTATTACTAAATATAACCATTGAAATGTATTAAAATGGATCCCTTATACCTACTTAGTAAGTATGGTGGGATCTGCAGCAGTCAAACTCAGTTGTGAGTCTAAAGCTTCAGATTTGGCATGGATGGAAAGGTTAGGCTGGATGAATTCATCTTTACTTGATTAACCTTAATATTTCCTGCTTAATACATAATACATAATACATAAGCCTTTTACAATATACTTTGTTTTATACAACCCATGATTCTGAAATATATGCAAAATATCTTTTAAAAAATTGGATTCTTTTAAAACATATTAGGAGAATTTACTATTTACAGAATTAATGTGGTGAGTCTTTGTATTAGGTTGAATTTTATGAAATTGGTGATATTTGAGCATTTTTTGGCCTATAAAATGGCAATTTCATATGGTTCAGCTAATAAAAAGTGAAGAATTGTTCTTTTCATCTTAAAACAGAGTACACACACATATAAATAACCTACCTGTTTATATACTGGCTAATGTGCAATTTTGGAGGGAGTGGGGGTGGGGGAAGGCAATCCAAGTCAGCATTTTGAACAGAAGAATAAACTCAAATTGTGCCCTCCGGTTACTCTAGCTGCCTTTCTGAGCAGTAATATATGTTAATACATTGGAGAATAAATATAATGTAAAAATTCTTTTCTTTACAGTAAGTTTGCTACAATAAAAACATTCAGTTTATTTTCCTAAAGATTAAATACCATGTGAGTCATTATAATGACACATCTGCTTAAAAGCATTTCCATTTGTATTGTCACTGGAAATTGGGTGGGGGGTGTTATGCTGCTATTTTGGTATAAACTGTGCTGTGTGCTTTGGTTAATGCTCAATGACGATCTGGATCCCCATGGGGTAGTTGTGATGAAAGAAGGTGGTAGTTTTCCATGTGAGTAACCTAATCATAAATTAGAAAGCTTCATCCAAGTCAGTGCTTAAAAAGCAGTTTTATTCTCCTGAAATTTGGGTTAGGGAGGTCAGATGGGCAGAGAATAGATTTTCAGTCTGTATCTGTATTAGATTCAGCAACAAGGTATTTCGTATCTTGCTATTCACTGCTGTTGAGAGTATAATCAGTTCCTTCATTTATCCAGCCACTGACTTCTCAACTGTAAAGTGCATTCAAATACTGTGGGCACAAAACGGAGAGCCTGGAATGAGGGAAGATGTGTGTTCTTAAGAAGTTCTGGGGAGGGAGGGGGCGGTATTGGCAGTCTTGATGAAGTCCATGTTTGGCTACCAAAGCTCAAATTTTAAAGGGTCCACTGAATTTGGGTGTTGAATAAACACACAACTTAAGACCATCAAGGTGTAATAATGTGAGTCACTTTGAGTTTGGAAAAATACATGCCCTATCCAAGTCTTAGCCCATCTGCTAATTTGTTTTGAATGGTGCAGAATGCAGCTCCCATCTCTGACAGTGCACAGTTGGGTAACAGGTGTGGCAGAGTCAGCCTTACTGCTAAATTTAGCTCTGCATGTGGGGATTTCACACTTGCAGCCCCTTGGAGAGAGGAGCATTGACAAATGACTGTATAAAAGTGGAAAGCACTTGGGAATTTCACTACCAACTTAGATTTAGATCAGAGAAGAAGGGCCAATCTAAATTGGTTACAGACTACAAAGAGCTACATTTCTGGTGGGGGTGGCATTAATCTAACATCTATTTGATTTCTCTCTTACCATCATTACAGTTCCTGAGAGAGTACTCTCTGAAATTTGATGACCCCCCCCCTTCAGGTGCAAGTGATAACTTATTTTTTGTTTTAGCAAGTAGAATTTAACACAGGTGTACTCATCCTTTGGTGGGAAGAATATGACCAGTTTTTTAAATTCTAATTTGTAAATGGTACTCATCTCCTTTGGTTTCCCTTTGAAAAGTTAGTTTTAAAAATTAAATTCTCTCCACACTACTGGCATACTAGGGCTACTTATGAGAACGGAATTTTTCAAAATATAATTCTCTTATAGATAATAAGTGAGACACTTCATCTTTTGGCAGGGATCAGGAAGGGAGGAACATTTTCTGGGAAATACAAATGAGACATTTGAGGACATTGATCTCAATAAGGATTTGTTGGAGGATGTTGTTTAGTCCTTTCCTCCTTTGTCTTTTTTTTTTTTTTTAAATACTCAGATCTAAAGAGTATAGTGATGACTAAATAGCTCTCTAACCATTTTTCACCACAAAAACCCTGGGACTCAGAAGGCTTGAATGTTTTGTCCAAAGCCACATTCAACAACAGAATACCAAAATCATTTCATTTCTGCTCTAAAGTACAGTTGAGTCTTGTTTGCAAAGGCACCTTTTAAACAAAGCTCATATTTGTGTGCAACTCTATCCTAGAGTGTGACAGGGAGAAAGAAAAAGACAAAGAAGCTGCATGAATAGAATTAACATAGTTATAATATGCACATTTTTCTCTCTCTAGATGAGTTTGTTTACTAGAAACTTCTTTCTGAAAACTTACTCTTTAAACTGAAACAGTTTCTTTAAATCTCTTCTTTCATTTGAAACAAACCGAATTGCCTAAGATGATCAAATCACTGCTGTTTAGGGAAAGGACTCGTGGTCCCTTCCATTAACTTCTGACATAATTTAACTTCGTGTAGAGGTGATTCTTTAGGATCAAAACACTAAATTAGAACTTGTCCTTTTCTTGGGATATCCTCTTTGAAGGATCAACCCTTTCAAAAGCAAATCTTCTTTGTTTTTGGAGCTTCCAGGGACCCTGTGTTTCTTACAACCACTGCGTATGAATTTCTGTGGTCTGAGGTTTGTGCAAGGCCCATGCACTGTTTGGTTACTATGGAAACCAGCCCTCCCAACCAGCTGTCATTTCCTATATTCCTTTCAGAGTGAGTCTTAAACGTTTTAGATAGTCCACAAGCAGAGTAAAGATGAAGAATAACACAAAGAAAACATGAACAGCTTGTTGTTAAATGAACAACTTGTGGATTCCCTACATGGGAAGCTTCATGTAAGAAAGCAAGCTCTCCTGGACATCTATATATAAGGGTTTACCCAGATCCACTAAAGCTCACCTTCATCCTGGCTTTAAGGAGTGGGGATTCGACTCTGCATCTCTACATCTGTGAACTGAGGAACACTTTCTGTGCTGTCCGAGTTGATGGGCGAGATGACATGTTTGAGCCGAAGGAGCATTGTGAAGAGCAAGATGAGGAGAATGGCCAGGAGGCTCAGGAATAAGCCCACATACATGTACAGGTTGGAATACTTGTCTGAAGAAGTATCAACCTCTGTTGCCAGAGTGGGAAAATGGGCACGCCCAGTGAGATTTCCATGGTATTTAAAATGCGCCTCCATCATCACTCAAGACTTGAGTTGGTATGTGTTTCTCTTTGATTTCTATTGCCCTTGAGGCATTTCACAGTCACTTAGACTGTCTCTAAATCTATTGGACGTGTTCTAACAATCCGGTAAAAACAAATCACTCTCAGAGCTAAGGTAATAGCACACAAGCAGAAAATGGTGATGCTATGATTTGACAATTGAGACACCCTCTCTATCCTTCAGCACAGCAATCACCCCTCCAATAGGTTTTATCAGAGCTTCTTAATCAATTTTCAAAAATATAAGTAATGCTTTATTTTCCACACTCCTACTTTTATACTGATTAAAATAAATATGGCTGAAACTGCTTTATAATACTGTTATTAGAACAAGAATCTTTTATAGTATTATGTCAGTCTTTTGCTCTGTTTTGGTAGATGGATAAAGGGTTCGTTTTGCCTATACCTAATCTAGATGTGTGGACTAATTATGTGGACCTAATTGGGCTCTTCCTTGAGGAGACTATCTGAAGGCTTTTGTATATATCAGGCTCAGCATATCTGAGTTTTCCTCCCGTTTGTCTATATTTCTGAACCTTCCCTAAGGATGGAGATTATAAGGTTCCTGCCCAGCTGCACAGCTTGTAAGTCTAGAAAATGTGAGTTTTCTGTAGCTTTGTTGACATCCCTCACTGTAGGCTGGACGGAAAGTGTTGTGAGACCTGGTAATTCTCAGGTAAGAGAGGTCTCAGAGACGCTGACAGCAGTAGGCCCAGGCTCAGGAGATTTGGCTCTTCAGATTCTCCAACAGATACTGATTTTCCTGAAAATCAAAAACAAAAATAAAGATTCGGTTATCTCTAAGAAAAACAAATGGCAATGTATTTTGAAATAAAAATAAATTGATAAATTGCAAAATGGTTTACTATATGCAAACCAATTTTAGAATGCTTTTTCTTCTGTGTAGAAGATAGCTTTTAAAAGGTTAAAGAAAAAAAATCAGATCACTAAACGGCAGCTAATAACTAACCTAGATTAGAACAATGTTTTCTAAACCAACTGATCATAAGATTTACTTGGGGGTACTTATTAATATACAGATCCTGGGCCCAAATCTAGACTTCCTGAATCATAATCTCCACAGTAGGGGCCTGGGCACCACTCTAGAGATTCAGACTTTATTGGTCTGGGATGAGACCGAAGCACTACTATTTAAAAAAAAAATAGCCACCCATATTCAAAGTTCATGTTTAGAATGCCAAGTTAAATCATTTTGGAAGACTGCAGCAGTAAATAGTTGACCCTATTTACATGGTGGAATGCTTTTGCCAACAAAAAGAAGGTTCTATCTTTACCAATGATGAAGGATGCATTTATTTGCTTGGAATAGGCACACCCTCTCAATTCCTTCTGGGTCTACAAACATTGGGGAAAAATGTCTATTTTTACCCCACATATCTAAATAAGAGAGATAGAAGAAAAGCAATAAAGTCTTTTCCAAGTAACTTCAAAGTGCAGCCAGGACTAAGAACCACTGATCTAGTTGAACCAGGAAAGCCTAGCACTGAAACAAAGGAATCCTAATTTTAAGGAATTGTTTTTCAATCTCCAGATCCCAGTGACAATTGTTACTTTAATGAATCAGGGGAATGTTCAGGAATGCAGGCTTCCCCTAATTTTGTTTTTGGTCTCTCTCTCTCATTTAGAGCTGTAGGGTGGAAATAGACATTTCCCCCCAATAGTTGTACACCAGAAGGATTTGAGAGAGTATGCCTATTCTGAGCAAATAAATGCATTGCATGCTTTATCATTGGTAAAGCTAGAACTTTCTTTTTATTGGCAAAAACATTCCACTGTGTGAATAGGGTCAACTATTTACTGCTGAAGCCTTCCAAAATGATTTAACTTACCATTCTAAACATGAATTTTGAATGTGGGTGGCTAAAATAAATGATATAAACAACCATCACCTGTCACACTTCTATGTACTATAGTAGATTGCTAACAGTGTAGCCTAGTTTTGTCTGTTGTTAACATACCCAAGGAGAGTTCGTAGAACTAGCTCCAACAGTCACATTATTTTTCCTATCATCTTGAATTTTGCCCCCAGCCTGAGAACACTTCAGCTTAAAGTTTGTATTCCCTAGCCCACGTTACTATACTTTCTATAATCCATATTTTTCTTAGTCTGCCTACTTACTGTTCCTATTGCCCACACTTGATTCATAAGAAACAAGAACAGAGAGACAGAGAGAGAGAGAGAGAGAGAGAGAATATCTTTCCACTGTATTTGGAGCAGTGGTCTAGGAAACATTTTTCTATCCTTGCAAGTACAGCTATTTTGATTTTTGATTAGCTGGGATCAAGGCCCAGAAATATGCATACTAAACACAAGCTTCTCAAGTGTTTCTTTGCATACTGAGCTTTGAGAGTTAATTATTGTTTTTTCTCTCTAGATAGCCCAGCTAAAGAATACAGCTAATCTATCTTATTGGTTGTTTGGAGGCTCTACTTTTAAAAGCATTTAAAACAATGTTATGGGTTGAATAGTGTCACCCCCCCAAAAATGGTGAAGTCCTAACCCCCAGTAACTGTGAATGTAACCTTATTTGGAAATAAGACCTTGTAGATGTAATCAAGTCAATATATTAGGTTGGCCCTAATCTAATGACTGGTGTCCTCACAAGAAGAGGAGAAGACAGAGGCATACAAGGAGAAGATAGAGGTAGAGATTAGAGTGATGTATCTACCAGCCAAGGAATGCTGAAGATTGCCAGCAAATACCAGAGGCTCGAAGTGGCAAGGAAGGAGTCTACCCTACAGATTTCAGAGAGTGCATGGCCCTACTGATACCATGATTCCAGACTTCTATACTCCAGGCCTGAAAGAATAAATTTCTGTTGTTTTAAGCCACCTAGCTTATATAATTTTTTTATGGCAGTTTTAGGAAGCAAATACATAGAGTAATCACCCTGAAACCCTAGTGTTTTGGAACCTTTGGGGTAATGTTTCTCAGAGTGGTCAAGGGAAGTCCCTTAACCAGAATCACCTACAGGGTGTTTATTATGAATAAAAACATGGACCCTTTCCCAGAGCCTTTACCTTGTTTCTTAGATTAGAATCTCTGGGGACAGTATCCTGGAATCAATGTTTGAAACAAGTTACCCACTTGTTTCTAAGCACATTCTTCAGGGAATGCTTTTCAGTCCTTGCTGTACTTTAGTATTACTTAGTATGCTTTTTGAAAATATATATAACTGGGTCTTTTCTTCAGGGTTTCTGATTCAGTAGCTCTGTATGGGGCATGAACATCTGTATTGCTTAAAAGCTCCACAGGTGATTTTGATATGCAGCCGGGGCTGAAAAACATCAGTCTACAAATAGAACAGAGCACTTCAAATCAGGACTCTAACAGTCCCAGACAGCCCACACAGCTCAACTGCTTCACTACATATTCAAGTGCTTCACGTATAGGTTGTCAGTCTGACTGGCCTTCCTCCTCACCACTTCTCCCAGCAGCTCCTTTTCTTAAGAATGGTAGTAACCTAGAGATAAGAGCTTAATGGATTTTTCATCCATGTATCTCCTAAGTTACTTTTTTACCTGCCTTCCAGAAAAGAAGGGTAAGGAAAAATGAACACTCACTGCTAGTGCAAGCCAAATGGGAGAAACCTCTATACTATCATAGTATCTTTATACTCCCTTTGAACCCCAAGTACACAGAATCAGGTAAGTCATACTCTTTGGTTTATGGTACATTGTCATCATTGGTAAATTTGAGCACTTTTTTATTCACTTATTTAATAATATATTGAACACTCATGGACAAACATCTGTGGGCAAACATCTAGCAACTTTAAGATTGAAAATGACTAATAATTTACATGACATCCACCTATGCTCTTCCCATCTCATCCTCTTACCTATCCTTCTCCAGAAATAACCAATAACCAATATTCTGAAATTTGTGACTCATTACCTTCCTTTTATTTACACACACACACACACACACACACACACACACCCCTATGCCTAAACAATGTTAGTATTATTTGTTTTGAACTTTATAAAAAGAATGCCAAACTGTGTGTAATCTTCAACTTGCTATTTTATTCTATATTTTATTACTATATGCTTTATTTACAACTAGTCTAGTGGAATGAAAAAGGAAAAAGAAATAAAATGTGGAAGTCCGCATGTTGCCTTTGGATTTTACTCCATTTTCCTTAGCTTGACATTTAAGGCTGTCAATGCTCTGGCCCTGGCTTACCTTAATTCCTTCCATTACCCTCTTTCCAATAAAACTGTAATGTTCACTCTTACCTACTTCCCTGCTTCCATATTTTTGTTTGACCAGTTTCTTCTATCTTCACACATCTCTGGGTGAGGAAATAATACAATTCTTTAAGATTCAGTTCATGAAGCTGATCTTGACTTTCCACCCTAACCCTAATTTCCACAATGCTTTGTATTTCTCCTAGAGGAATTAAATTTGACAAATATTGCAGATATCTATTTGATATGTTTTCTTCTAAATTCTAGTTTACAAAATTCTTGAGGATCCTTTTCAGCAGTCTATCCCTTATACAGCTTTGCTTGCAGTAGCTGCTCAAGAATTATTGAATAAATGCATGGGTATGATGAAGAAATGTACCTAATATTTAGAGTTCGAAGAGAAGCATGGTCTTATCTCTGATCCGATTGCTAATATAGCTTGGAGAAGAACATAAATTTCTCTTTTCTTTTTATTCCTTTCCTCCACTGTTCAATTTCTTACTGGAGAATAATTCCAGATTATAATCTAGAGTTAAGAAATTATCACCTTGTTAGAAACTCTGTTGATGAAGTGCTATTTCACGTACAAGATTTTAAAGGAAAACTATATGGGATGGGTTAAATTTTAAATTTAAGTTTTAGAAAGTTCACTTGTGTCTATAGATAATTTTCAATAATAATTGATAGTTCATTTTCTGCCTCCTATGCAATTGACCCTGAATCTTCCTTAGGTCTGAATACTTATTCAATATTTATTAGAATTCTATGAAGCTTGGAGAAGCTTAGAGAACAATGATCTCAGCTACAGTTGTCAATTTCTTTAAACATTTCCTTTGAAATTTTGGAAAACTAACTAATCACATATTTCTTAAAGCCTCTATAGTCTTCAGGAGACCAAACAGTCTGGTCAATTCAGGGAGGTTTATCAATTTAATTCCTTAAGGACTTTGAAATGAATAAATGCAATTTTTAGATATTGGGAAATCCTCTTTTTCGTTACTCTGGTCCTATATCTGTGACTACTTCTCATAAAAGCTTTTCAAACAGGATTGTCATGGCTCTCTTTGCTAACTAATTAATGAGTTGCACAGATAATATGATTGCTCTGTTAAAAGCTCTGCACCATTTGGAAAGAAAAACAACCATGCAATTTCAAAAAGAATTCAAATTCTATTAATTCTGAAGGATATGATTTTTTGTGGAAAGAATTATTTTAGTATCCTGCAGTTCTTTCTGGAAAGCTCATACAATAAAAATCAGTTTCTAGTCTTTGTAAAAGTGATTGAAAGCTGTTGAGGGATAAGGAGGAGGGTGAGGAATGGAAAAGGGGGTAAGGAATTCGGGAAAGAAAGAAAGGAAGATAGAGGAAGAGGGAAGGGAGAGAGGAGGAAAAGAAAGAAATGTGAGAAATGAGTAAAGACTATGAGGGATGTGGGATGGAGACAAGATGGGGCAGGAAATGAGTGATCATGGGGGGGGGCGAAGGAAGGGAAGGAGGTAATATTGAGAAAGAATGGAGGAAAAAAAGAGGACGAGAAGTTTGGGGGAAAGGGAAAAGAGGAAGTGTTTAATTTAATAACTGGCCAATGTCCAATATTAACTTGTGCCTCTGGTTTACTTCAATTCTAATGTAAATCAAAATACTCACAAGTGACATAAATGCACCTTTGGTTTTCTGATTGTATATTTTGTCATTCATTTGGTAAATAAAATCTTAGTAAAAAAAAAAAAGTCTTCTGTTTTTAGTATAAACATTGAAATGTCAAATTCTCACTAATTTTTGACATTAGCATAGTATATATAACCTCACAGGAGCAAAATGACATACACTCCTAGATCATGAATTTTGCTCCCCAGAATGATAAGGGAATAGCTGTTTGCATCAATCAAACCCGAGAGCAATTCCTTGAGTGAAACTTATTTGTAACAAGAGTAACCAAGTTCTGCACAGGTCTCCAAAATCAGATTAACATTTCTTTGGTAAACATTTATTGAGTGCCAATCAAGTTCCAGACACTTTTTTAGGTGCTGGAGATATAAAATAAGAGTACCCTGATCTCTATTTGGTTCTCAGGATGCTCCTAGTAGTTACTTTTATTTTCTTTAACATGATAAGGTTCTGGGAACACCCCACTGGTAATTTTACATTTTTCTACATGACACCTGCCTATATAATTCCAGAGCTGAAATCTCACCAAGTACTTAAGGAAAATGTTCAGTGGAACAATTCAGAAAAGAAATTAAAAACTATGAACTGCTATCAGCTTTTAAGAGTTAATACATTCTATTTATATTTATCTTCCTAGCTGGGGAGAAAAAACTAAGAGAGATAAGTGTATCGAGTTCCACATCACCCTATGAAAAAACGATTCCAGCAGCAAATGCTTCTTCAGTGACTGGAGCCATTAAGTAATAAGCTTGCTCAAGCAGGAGTTGCTGTATCTTCTGCAGCAGATGGTGCCTATTTGTCACACCTGCCGATAAATAAAATAATGCCTCTCACCTCACCGGGAATAACATCATATTTCCAAATATCTCTTACCTCTCCTGGTCCACAGTATGAATAGGATGGGTCACTTAAGTATCCCTTTTGAAGCTTTCACCAACAGGTAAGTTGTTCAGGAACATCCCTGGAACAGCTGGAAAATAGAACGAAAGCCTTGTTTTGCCAAAGAAGCAGGACTATGTTCATGCAAAGTATGGTTTCTCTTTCATCTTCCTAAAGAGTAATCCCTTTGCAGAAAAACAGAAAAACACCTCCTATTACTTAAAATGTTACTTAAAATGCCAGTTACCACTTACAGCTTCAGAGTGCAGCTTCAGATGCCTGCTCCTTATAAGCTCTGAAAAGCAAAGAGAAGTCTGTTTGGATGTGTGTGTGCCCTCTGGAACATTTGAATGAAAGCAGCCTGAATTAGTCTAAGTCCCCAGTTCCTCTTTCGCAGGCAACAGTTTAGAGTATGCGGGAAAGGTAGTGATTCAGCTCTGCTCTGTCTCAGCGGTGTGGAGAGGGAGGAGATAAGAGAGGCTGAGAAGCAAAGTTTGTATAAGCTTTCTACTTTAACCCCTTCGAGGCTTCCTCATAAATCTGTAAGACTAGCTGAGGCTCCCTATCTTTATAAAAGCTGCTTCATATGTCATTTAAGAGGATCAAATCTCTAGCTAAATTCAAGAGGTTTTTCATCCTGGGTCTTACAGTAATACATGCTTAGAATTGAAACCAAACATTCCAGGATGTGATAGTGCTTAAATAATTCCATCTTTACAAACAGAATATTTGCATGTTATATTTCTAGGTTTGAAAAGGATTTTTTAGGCACCAACTTAATACATTTGATTTAAATATTTTGTGGAAATTTAACATCAGCCTGATTTTTTGGTTGGGGTTCTAAGAGTAAAGTAGAACATTTTCTAAGTAGTCATATCTAGCCAGGGTATATATTCCACTATAAGTTATTCATCCATTTGTAGTCAAAGGCCCTTATCATCTTTTATATATTGTGGCAGGAGGAAGGAGATTAACATTTCTTGAGTGCCTACTCTATATTAAACATTTAACATAAAGAACTTAATTTAATCCTCACAACAGCCCTGTGATTTGGGTATTATGATCCTCATTTTACAAATGGGGAACCTGAGGCTTAGAGAGAAAGTATATCATGTAGTTTAGTAAGCCTAGAGCTAGCACTGGAAAACAAGGCCATGTGATCCCAAAATCTCTGCTCTTTTCTCTGTAGCAGTGTTTCTTAACCTTTGTGGATCTTGGATTCCTTTGAGAGTCTAAGGAAAGCTACAGACCTTCCCCTTCCTCAGAAATAGGGATAAAATTTCTGTGCTCCACGGCCTCCAGGTTAAGAACAGCTGAATGTCCCCATGTTACTTCTCCAATATTATACCATCATTAGTGCATTGTTCATCCAACAACACATGATCGTAAACAATTTTTATTATGGTATCAATAATCACAATAGTATTAGTTATAGTGTCATGCCAATCTTTAAGAAATTACTGCAGTGATTTTCACTTTATTCCCAAATTCTCCTTAACAATTCTCGTATATTACGTCTTTCCATTTCCCTCATTCCAGTGGTTAAAATGAGTTGAGGCTGTCCTTGAAATCCTTGCCTTACCAGCATATTCCAGTACCTTCTTTCTCAAACTGAGGAATATGCTGGCACTTCTCAAACTAGAGTAGTATGCTCAAGAAAGTACAGGACAAACATAGTGTATTTTCCTAGATGATTAAATTTACTTGAATATTTAGACAAGGAGAACATAGATAGTTTAAGTGACAATTTTAAGCATAGCTTATATGATAATAAACATATAGAATAGAATGCAAATTTATGCATTTTATGATCAAGCATGAGATTTCAGAGAAATTTTGCACTTGTGGTAGGGCCTTTTTGGGTCACCCAGACTTCCCCAGGGATACGTGTTGACTCTCCTCTGCCATTCGGGACTTTTGGATGACAAAGTTCAAAGATCATGGTGTAGTAGAAAGATGAGGGACTTTGAAATCATAATGACCTGGGTTTTCACCTTAGCTTTGATCTATATTTTCTGGATTACCTTAAGAAGGTCAATTAATTTCTCTGAGGCTCAGTTTTCACCTATAAAAGAGGGAAAATTATAAAAAGGGGGTTAGATGAGAAAATCTCTCTAAAGCATATGCTACAGATGTTCAACAAATCTTAATGTTGTTGCTTCAAATTGGTAGATATCAATAGATGATGAGGCTATGTGAATCTAACCAGAGGTTTCACCATGGATAATTTACCTTTTCTTACCTAATTAGAAAAAATAAGCCTTATTTAACATAATATTAAATTCGAGTTTCCAGGAAGACATGATAAATGACCAACAATAGTTGGGAATTCCAAAGCCAGGCCATCATATACAAAATTTACAATGGAAATGCTCCAGAAGAGGTTCCAAGAAATAAAAGGGAGTCAGATTGTGAAAGGGAGTGGGAAGGGAAATTTGTGAAAATGTTTCTTTACCCAGAGCTGTTGCTAGGCCAAGACTCCACTTCACCTTCCAAAACGAGTAGAAGCCTAGTGGGTATTTCACTGGATCACTCACAGAGCTTGACATTTATTCCCTGTGGTAGAAGGGGAGCGAATTGGAACTGTACTCCTTTCTGAGAAAGCTAATGTGGCCCTTGGCAGGAGAACACGATTGACTGTGTTGAGATTGGCCTTCATTCCCAGAGTTTGTTAGGGCAGGGTATGTTTGATTTTTTCCTAGGAACCAAACAGGGGTCACGCAAGAAAGAGAGCCAGGGTAGGGTCATCCTGAACCCTTTTCAATATGGCCATCTGCAGGGGAGAAAGGACCCCATCAACAAGAAGCTGAAGACAATTTCTGGATTCCCAGAGGCTGAGGAAAGAGTTGTTAACTACCAACCTAAACAAAAATGCATCAACCCAGGCCTCCCAAATTACAGGAGAGGGGTCTTCTGTGATGGAGGTCTTTGAAGAACCCACAGAAGAGCCAAAGACCCAGAGAGTGGGAAGCCATTCCACCAAGGAAGAAATGACCAATCCCTTACCTCTCTTCCCTACTCCTATTTCCACCCTGGTGAGGATCCAAATAGAAACTGGCAAGTGGAGAGAGAAAGAAGAAAATCTATCAATCACTCTTCCTTTTCCAAAGGCATTTAGCCACCACTACAGGTCTTAGCATGGGCTTAGTGGGAAACAAAGCCTCACCATTGAGTGAAGATTGAGAAAGCTGAGTAATATCTTGGATGGAATACATTCTAATTACTAAATCAAGGTTGTGTTTTGTGACTTAGAGTGACCTATGGACGGTCTATTTTTGAAGAAGTGAGCAGAAAATCATGTGCTCTATCCAAACTTCCATCTATGGCTAGGAAAAGGTTACCTCAATGGGGTACATTTTATTGGAACATGGGGAGACAAAATAAAGTTGTGTTTTGATTCTATGATAAATAATACTGTAGAAAATACTGGTTGTACTAACTAATTCATCCCTTCAACAAGCATGTGATTCCTTTCATGCGTCAGACATTGTGCTAGGAATAGGACATACAGTGAAATAAAACATAGTTCTTGCACTCAAATTACTTATGATATATGGCAGGGGTCAGCAAATTTTTCTCTAAAGAGCCAGATAATAAATATTTTAGGCATTAAGGGACACATACAATCTCAATTGCATATTCTACTTATTTTTGTAACTAACCTTTTAAAAATGCAAAAACCATTCTTATTTTGAAGGCTGTACTAAAAGAGGCCATGGGTCAGATTTGGCCTGTGCACTCTAATTGCTGGCTCCTAAATGATTGAAGTAACAAATTTTTATAAACCACCAATTACCATACATTTATTATGACTGAAGATGTGTTTAGGGCACTTGGGGGAGGAGACACAGAAGAGCATTTGCTAATTCTGACTGGGAAATCAGGGTTTCCAGGAAGAGGCAGTGTTGATTTGAAACCTGAAGGATGAGTAAGAATTAATCAGAGTTAGAGGAGGTGAGTGGTAAGCTGCCTGTACAGAGGCACCAAAACTTGAGAGCTTGGTTTACTTAAGAAACTACAAAAGGGGAAAACTGAACCTTAGAGAGGTTAAGTATTTTTCTGAAGGTCACACAACTAGTAAGTGATGGAGCCTAACCTCTTAACTCAGGTATGTCTGACTCCAAACCTGTCCTGTTAGCCACTGTTATCATATTCCTACCCTAGTATTGAAGCTATGTCTAAGGTCTACTTCTAGTATCTACAAATCAGCAGCTGTGCTTGGCTCATTTCTAATTTCCCTGGGGGTAAAAATGACAAAGTTCTAAAAGGGCTTGCAGACCATATTTTTAAATAAGACAGTGAATCAATAATGTTGGGTTGTCTAAATTAGAACTTGAATTTTCCTTTTCAAAAATAACCCCCTGCCCCAATAAAACCTAGTACACATTGTTCAAATAATCTGCTTGTTTCATCCTTGCAGAAGAGTTTTTTTTTTTTTTTTTTCTTTTTTTTCTTTTTTTCCTGGTAGCTAAGCTCTGGCACTGCTATAATGTAATTTCTTACCTTCTCATTATAGATGCAGACATTTATAAGAAATGGCAACATCTGGCTTAGACTATATCCTATGATTGATCCAAATACTGTTCCCATCTTCATCATTCACATTGATGACCTTGGGCGAGTGAGTTCACTCAGCACGGATGAACCTGTCAATGTTGTGTACATTGCTTGGTGGATTTTTACTGAGGTAGTATAGTTTAAAAAGCTAGATTAACCATGCAGCAACTACTCTCTGAACAATACTGCCATTAAAGATTGCCATGTACTCTTGGAGTCAGCAAGAATAGGGATTGAAATGAGGAGAAACAGGGAATGAGAATAGCCCAACTCGCTGTTGCTGGACTTCCAGTGGTCAGTGGTTCTTAACCATAGTTGTACTTTTCACTCGGGGGCTCTTTCAAAACACAGAGTATTGGCCCTATCCCAGACCTTCTGCAGAGCTGAGGCCTGAGAATATGTATTTTTAACAAGCTCCCCAGTTTAAGAATCTTAAGAACCACTACCCTGAGGGAACAAATAGACAGGTATCTAATGAACTGACTGTACTAAATAACATACCAGACACTCTTGGACTATGCACAGAAATTCTACTTAAGAAATAAATATACACAAGCCAGGCACGGTGGCTCATGCCTGTAATCCCAGCACTTTGGGAGGCTGAGGTGGGTGGATCATCTGAGGTCAGGAGTTCAAGACCAGCCTGGTCAACATTGTGAAACCTTGTCTTTACTGAAAATACAAAAATTAGCTGGGCGTGGTGGTGCACGCCTGTAGTCCCAGCTACTGGAGGCTGAGGCAGGAGAATCGCTTGAACCCAGGAGGTGGAGGTTGCAGAGAGCTGAGAGTGAAACTCTGTTAAACAAAAAAAAAAAAAGAAAGAAAAGAAAAAGGAAAGCATATATTCAAGTTTATTGTTCTAATGTTTCA